CTCCAGAAGCAGAAGCGTCTCAGCTCCCCCTGCACGGGCTCTCCAGCTTCACACTCTTGGCAGCTTCTCCAATCAGCTCCCAGAAACTTCCAAACTCCAGTTTGGAGTCAGTGCAGCCGCCCAAGCTGGCGATCTTCTCTTCCAGCCCACAGTTGTTCTGAGGGGACAGAGGACACCCTAAGCCCAGAGAGGCAGCATCTTCAGACAGTGCCACCCCACCCTGCCCCGGGGCAGGAGCAGAACCTGGCCATGGCAGGGGAAGGCTGGGGATGGCTGGTGCCAGGGGCCCGTGGTCTGGGTGGGGTCCTGGGGAAAGGGCTGGGGCGGGGTGCAGTCCCTCCCAACCATACCGGCATGAGGTGGGGCAGCTGCTGGGTGACCAGGTCCTGCAGCTCCGAGGAAGTCAGCGTCTCCTTCCCGCCCTCCACGGAGTACTGGTGGAAGTTTTTGATGAGGGTCTCAATGGCACGCTCCACGTCACTGAATTCCTGAGCATCCTGAAGCAGGGGAGTCGGTTGTGTCAAGGAGGCTCTCCCTTCCCCCCCGCCCAGGAATCCCTTGCATCCTCAGGAGCCCACAAAGCCAACAAGGCACCCAGACTCCCACCCACCCCCAAACCCAGAATCCAGCTGCCCCTGCCCCATGGGTGTCCCAGGCACACAGCAGCCTCTGCCCAGAGCCACAGTGAGGCAAGCCTTCCCTCCCCCACGCCCCAGCCTCCAGGTAGGGAGGGCAGGCCCCAGCATGTAGTCTCCCTGGGAGGACTCTGTTGAGAGCACCCTATGTGGGCACCAGAGAGGGGGCTGGGGCTCACAGATGAGGTCCTTACAGGCTGGCAGGCCGAGATGAGAGCCCAAAGCAGTGGAGACTACAGAGGCTCGGAGTGGGCAGGGGAATATGGGAGCAAGGAGCACAGGGATGAATGGGCATGTACCTCAGCGTTGGCAGATCCGCACTGGCCCATGGTGCCGGGTGCACTCCCTGGAGAATCCTGTGTCCTGCAGCTTGTCTCAAAGGAGCTGGTGGCTCATGCCTCGCCTAGAGAAGAGGGGACAGAGGGACCCACATATCCTCCTCAGCTCCCTCTCTGGGATCCACCCAATTCTCACCAAGAGGCCAGACCCAGGCTAAGGTCACAGCCCCCAGCCCAGCCCAGCCCAATTAGAGGGAATCCCTTAGGCTTCACCTCAGCCTCCTTGTTCTTGCCCCCTTCTCTAAACACACACACACACACACAGCCTGCAGGACACGGTCCCTCAGCCCTTCCCCTGGCAGTCCAGGTTCGCGTCTGGAGGTGAAACCTGCCCTCCCAGCAAAGGGCAGCCCATTTGGGTGAAAAGACCTGGGTTTCCTTACCTGCTGGCAGCTGCTGAGACAGGACAGGAGGGGCCAGCGCACCTGAGCTCAGTTCTTATACCTGGGGGAAGGGAGGGGAAGCCAGTGGGGTTGGGCCTTTTCCCCAAGCCACCCCTACTATTACTGCCTCCTGGGCTGGGAGCCAGCTGTGTGAGCCCCACCCTCCTTTGGCCAGAGCAGAAAGCCTGCCCCCCCTGCCACACAGAGGGAACCTGTGGAACACCCCTGGCCCTAGACCAGCTTGTCAAGTTGTGGGGAGAAAGGAGGGGCTGGGAAGAAAGAGGGAGGGGCTTAGAAACACCCTGGGTTAAACCTGGGTGGTGGCAGGACCTAAGGGAACTGTGGTGCAGAGAAGGGGCCCTGGGTCTGCGTCAACAACCAGGACAGGAGGGGCAGGGCCTGACCAGGCACGGTTTGCAGCACTGAGGGAATGAGGGGCTAGTGGGGTTGAGAGAGGTCCCAGGGAGGAGAAGGCCAAATTGGATAGTGACACTCAGTGTGCCCAGGTCCCAGAGCCCCAGTCTTTCCTAGACCTGGGAGGAGGAGGGGCAGGAGGAAAGGACCGGAGAAGGGCAACCTAGTAGAGGGGGCCAGACTGGTTGTCGTCCTAACTCTCCCACTCCCAGGTCTCCTCAAATGGTGATGGCCCAAGCAGCTCTTGGCAGCTAATTACCTCTCCAAACTCGTTTGGCTGCTTGCTCCTCCTCCCCATGCCTTTCCCTGGCTCAGCAGCTGCACAGCAAGCTACCCTCATCCTGGGGGCATCTTAGGGACAGGGGATCCCAGCTTCAGTTCATCCCCAATCCAAATAGCCCTGGTCATCTGCCCAGGCCCCAGAGGAGAGGGGCTACAAAGGGCAGAGGGGTCAGGGTGCATCAGAGCCAAAGTCCCCAGGCTCCTTTCCTAAACCCTGAGATCAGACTATACCTTCCCACACCCCTCCCTCCCTGGGTTTCCTGCTAG